TATATATATTTTATTGATTTTTACAGAGAGGAAGGGAGAGGGATAGAGAGTTAGAAACATTGAAGAGAGAAAAACATCGATTTAGCTGCCTCCTGCACACTCCCCACTGGGGATGTGCCCGCTACCAAGATACATGCCCTTGACTGGAATCGAACCTAGGACCCTTTAGTCTGCAGGCCGACGCTTTATCCACTGAGCCAAACTGGTTAGGGCCCTTGTGTACTCTTAGTGAGAATGTAACCTGATACAGTATGGAGATTACTAAAAAAAAATTTAAAAATAGAACTATCGCCCTGGCTGGTGTGGCTCGGTTGGAGCATTGTCCTGTGCACTGAAAGGTTGCAGGTTCAATTCCAGCTCAGGGCACATATCTGAATTGAGGTTTGATCCCTGGTCAGGGTAGATGCTGGAGGCAACCGATCATTGTCTCTCACCTCTCTTTCTCTCTCTCCGCCTTCCTCCCTCTCTAAAATCAAGAATAAAATAAAATAAAAAACAGAACTATCATATGATCCAGCAATTCCATTTCTGGTTTTATATCTAAAAAAATTAAAATCAAATCACTATCTTGAAAAGATATATGTACTACCATGTTCATTGCAGCATTAGGTATAATAATCAAGACACAGAAACCATGTAAGTGTCCACTGAGGGATGAATGGATAAGGAAAATGTGGTATCTATATGCACAATGAAATATTATTCAGCCATAAAAGGAGGGAAATCCTGCCATTTGGGACAATATGGATAGACCTTGATGGCATTAGGCTAAGTGAAATGTCAGAGAGACAAATATTGTATGATCTCACTTCTATGTGGAATCTAAGAAAAAACCAAACTCATAGATACAAAAACAGATTAGTAGTTGCCAGAGCAGAAGAGTGAGGGCAAATGCGTGAAGGTGGTCAAAAGGCACACATTTTCCAGTTATAAGTAAATTCTGGTAACTCTAGTTAACAATACCAGGCTATCTCTTTGAAAGTAGCCAAGAAAGTAAATCTTAAAAGGTCGCATCACACAAAAAAATTATGTAAGGTGATGGATGTTAACTAAACTTATTGTGGTAATCATTTCACAATATAAACATATATCAAATCATTATGTTGCATACCTTAAAGTAACACAACATTATATGTCAATTATAGCTCAATAAAATTGGGGGGCGGGGAGGGAATGAACATAGTCATGCAACATTTATACACTATATCGACTTTTCAAAGTAAATTTAACAAGATTGTATTGTGGAGACAAAAATAACATAAAAGATAAAAAGAAGGTATGAAAGCATACTGTTATATGGTTTTCACATTATACCTAAATTGGTCTAATATCATTTGAAAGTAGACTATGAGAAGACAAAAATACATACTGTAAAGTATGTATATTACAAAGTCTAGATCAATCACTTAAAAAAAGAATGAGGAGTTAATGAAATAAAAAAAGAAACACATCAATCAATTCAAAAGAAGGGAGGAAAAGAGAAAAAAAGAAACAAAAAACATAGTACTGATTGAACAATACTATCAAGATGTAGGCTTACACCGAACCTTATGAATAATTAATATCAAATATAAATGGTCAGATACCCCATGCCCAGCTGGTGTGGCACAGTTGGTTGAATGTCATCCCATGCACCAGGGGGTTGCTGGTTCAAATCCTGGTCAGGACACATCCCCGGGTTTCAGGCTTGATCCCCAGTAGGCGGCATGCAGGGGCAGCCAATCAATGTTTCTCTCTCATTGATGTTTCTATCTCCCCCCCCTCCTCACATCAATAAAAACATATTTAAAAAATTAAAATAAAAAATAAATGGTCAAATACTCCAATCAAAAGGCACAGATTGTTAGATTGAATAAAAAAAAGCAAGGCTTAATTATATACTGTCTACAAAATAAAAACACTTTAAAAATACATACTAGGATATATAAGCCCAAACCACAACATGTTAAAGAAAAATTATTCTGACACTTGTAAAATGATTAAGAAAACATTCAAGACTACTGGAATAGGGATCATGACTACTGCAACAGGGGAGAAAAAGTGTGTTCAACTTTGAATACAGCAGAGACAAATGGGATTTATAGCCAACATACATAGTGAGGAGGTTAGTGGACAGAAAATTACTAAGAGGAGACATCAAGGGTAGAGAGTTTCTTGCTAAACTGGCTGAGTAAGATTTTTGCTAAAGGCAGGCTAGGTAGTTATACATCAAAGGTGGAGGATAAGGAACCTTCTCAGATAACAAGGGGGAGGGAGGGAATGACAGCAGGATTCTTTGCTAAGACTGGCTTATGTAGGCCAAGGACAGTGCAAAAGAGGGCTCAGAGGAGTCTGTCTAAAGTTTGGTCAAAGAGAGAATCTGTCAAATGAGATATCAGTTTATACCCACTTGGATAACTACAAGTGTTGATGAGGATGTGGAGAAATTGGAACCTTCTTTATTGCTGGTAGGCTGTGCCCTTGACCAGAATTGAACCCAGGACCTTTCAGTCTGCAGGCTGACGCTCTATCCACTGAGCCAAACCAGCTCAGAGCAACAGTAATTTTTTTAAAAAAAAAAGACTTACCAAAATAAAAAAGACGTATCATACAAACATTACAAAACTAGACAAAGTAGACTTTAAGAAAAGAAATAGTCTAAGAGGGAAAGAGAGATACTTAATAAATGATAAAAAGGTCAATTTATCAAAAAGTCACAAGTATCCCAAATATATGTGAATTTAATCACATTACATCAATATACATAAAGCAGAAAGTGATAGAACTTAAAGTACAAATAAACAATTTCACAAATATGACTGGAGATATCAATACTTTTATCTCAGCAATTGATAGATAGTAGATAGAAAATCAGTAAGGATTTAGAAGAGTTTATTTAAAAAATCAATCAACTTAACCTAACTGACATTTTATAGAACATTACACCCAACAAGAGTATAAATACACCTTCTTTTAAGTAGATATAAAAATACTAGAGGCCCAGTATGCGAAATCGAGTGAGGCGCCCCGCCTCCCATCTGTGCCGTGAGAGCCGCTGCTCTTGGGCCAGGGGAAGGGCCCGAGAGATGCTCCAGCACCTCCTGCTGATTGGTCGTTACGGCATGAGGGCGTGATGACCATTTGCATATTAGCCTTTTATTATTATAGATTCTCTAACAAACTATATGCTGGGCCATAAAACAGTAATTGTAAAAGAACTGAAATCAGCCCTAACTAGTTTGGCTCAGTGGATAGAGCATCGGCCTGCGGACTGAAGGGTCCCAGGTTCGATTCCGGTCAAGGGCATGTACCTTGGTTGCGGGCACATCCCCGGTGGGGGGCGTGCAGGAGGCAGCTGATCGATGTTTCTCTCTCATCGATGTTTCTAACTCTCTCTTCCTCTCCCTTCCTCTCTGTAAAAAATCAATAAAATATATTTAAAAAATAAATAAAAGAACTGAAATCATATGAAGTACAATTAATGACACCACAGAACTATTCAGAATTACTAACTAAAAGGTATTTGAAAAACCTCCAAATATTTGGAAATTAAACACATTTCTAAATAGCCCCTGTATTAAAGAAGAAGTTCCTGTATTAAAGAGGAAACCACAATGATATTAACCAGCATTATTTCAATACCAGGAGAAACCACCGTTACATTATCAGTAATAAGATAATAACATCATCCACCTCATGAAATGATGCACTAAGAAGGGCAAAATATCATTTTTGTGGTATTCCTGCCTCACCTAACTGTGAGGAAATATTAGATAAACCCAAATTGAGAAACATCTACAAAATAAGTAACTCACTAGTAAAGTGTATAGAAAAGATTTGGAACACAGTACACTCTCAATAGATGTTAAAAAATAATTTTTGTTGGGTGTGAAAAAAACATTTTTGACCAGAATATCTGATCTAGGATCTTATGCAACAATATCTCAATGTGGAAAAACAGCAGATTCTGATTTAGTAGGCCTAGGGGGAGTACAAGATTTTGGATTTTTTAATAAACTTCTAGGTGATGCTAATGCAGCTGTTCTGTGGACTGTACTTTCAATAACAAGGTCCCCAAAGCATATATTGTCACATGAATTTTTAATAAAATGTATTATTTTAGTTTATAAAATATTTTAAAGATATACAAATACAGAAAACATAAAATATGCTTATGTATTTACTCATATAGTTTTTTAAAAAAATATTTTTATTGACTTTTTATAGAGAGGAAGGGAGAGGGATAGAGAGTCAGAAACATAGATGAGAGAGAAACATCGATCAGCTGCCTCTTGCAAGCCCCCCACTGGGGATTGAGCCTGCAATCGAGGTACATGCCCTCGACTGGAATCAAACCCGGGACCCTTCAGTCCACGGCCTGACGCTCTATCCACTGAGCCAAACTGGTCAGGGCTACTCATATAGTTTTTAAATGTTTAAAATATACCAGAGCAATCATAATACTTTTGAAAAATTTTAAAAAATGAAATAATCAACCTACTAAATGCTGTTAAAAGAATTAAAACAGATGAGACAACTACATATACAATTATATTTATAAAATATTTAAGAGTAGTTTTTTATTGGTTATTGGCATTATTGGTTAAATTCTTTTAATGTTCATATTTCCTAAAGTTGTTTTTTTCTTTAACCATAATTATGTATTACTTTTATAATTAAGGGAAAAAAGTAAAGGCTATATATTAAAAAAATCAATCACAGCTATCCAACACAAGCATAATATTGCTAAGTTCAATAACACTAAAGCTTTACTAATGTTCAGTACATGTAAAAGCAAGTTGTTGTAAGTATATGCATAATTGCCTTATTAAATCTAATTACCTCACTTTCTAAGTCCTTAACAACTTTTAGAGTTCTGTTAAATTTTGGCAAATACCTCTGGGATAGCTTATGAAAATATCCAAATGAGACTACTATCACTAGAGAGTAATTTCACTAACGATGTGGACTATCAAATGATTCTACCTTTCGGCTGCATTTAACACATCTCTGGGAACCAGCTATGACCTTGCATTTCCAACACTGCCAGTATGAGATCGTCTTCCTTTTGCTGAAGAAGTATCTAATGGTAAATCTCCCAAGCCCTGTAAGTCATATAAAGAAAGGCACTGTAATGAAAGTCTTAACACTAGTAAATTGAAATAACTCATAAAATGTCATTTTCATAGCAACCATTAGTAATCTGTTTTTATGATTGAAAACATTTTTATTTTGGGGGGTTTGGCAATGACATTTATTTATTTATTTTTAAAATATATTTTTATTAATTTCAGAGAGGAAGGTAGAGGGAGAGAGAGAGAAACATCAATGATGAGAGAGAATCATTGACCGGCTGCCTACTGCACGCCCCTACTGGGGATCTAGCCCACAACCCAAGCATGTGCCTTGACTGTAATCAAACCATGACTTCCTGATTCACAGGTCAACACTCAACCACTGAACCACACTGGCCGGGCATGATTTAAAACATTTTAATAATCTGCTATGTTTATGCTTTAAAAATTATCAAGTATCAGATATATATAAAGTATCTTGTAATTAGTAATAAATTAACAAAATATGTGAACAATTAATAGGAAATGATACTGGCTTTGGTAAAGTGTTTAAAATTTTGTAAATGAATATGCGAAAATTTAAAAAATGAATATGCTATATTTTAGATTTTATAAGTACTCTTCTTTTATATATATGTGTGTGTGTATGTATGTATGTGTGTGTGTGTATATATATATATATAATTGATTTTTTTACAGAGAGGAAGGGAGAGGGATAGAAACATCAATGAGAGAGAAACACTGATCAGCTGCCTCCTGCACACTCCCTACTGAGTATGTGCCGTGTCTGCAACCAGTGCCCGCAACCAAGGTACATGCCCTTGACCGGGTCAAACCTGGGACCCTTGAATCCGCAGGCTGATGCTCTATCCACTGAGCCAAATAAGTTAGGGCTGTAAGTACTCTTCTTAAACCTAACCTCTATATAGAAAATAAGAACACATTACATAAACAATGAATTCCTATGGAAACACCAATGTGAGAATAAACCTTTTGATAATAACTATTTAAAACCTCTTTTATCCCTCTGACACTTGTATGTGAAATGATTCACAAATACAAAATGCCTCATTTGAGTAAGATAATTTTTTCATGGTTATTTGAATAAATTCTATGGGAATGAAGCTGAAGTCTTTAACATCAGTAGGCAGAAAAAATGTTCTAAAATGTATATTACCACAATGGAATACTACGCTGCGGTAAAAAAAGAAGGAGCTCTTGCCTTTTGCAACAGCTTGGATGGGACTGGAGAGCATTATGCTAAGTGAAATAAGCCAATCAGAGAAAGATAAATACCACATGATCTCACTCATTTGTGGAATATAGAGAACAACATAGACTGATGAACAGGGACAGATCCAAAGACAGAGAAACAGCAATCAGACTATTAATCCCCAGATGGAAAGTAGGGGGAGGGTGGGGCTAAGGGGAAGAGATCAACCAAAGGACTTGTATGCATGCATATAAGCCAAACCAATGGACATGGACAACAGGGGGATGAGAGCATGAGTGGGGGGCGGGGAGGATGGGAGTTAATGGGGGGGGGGGGGATGAGGACACATTTGTAATTCCTTAACTAATAAAGAATTTAAAGATTTTTAAAAAAATGTATATTACCATGTATCTTTGAAATATCCATTTATAAATTAATTCTTTGCCCAAGGTTATCAGAGAGAAATAACATAAATTACCATAGAAAAATTTTACATTATTAAACATACTTTTAAAAAACTAGTATGTGAATGGAATACATTTCTACAAGACAATTTCACATTTTAATTTACTTGGTATTCCTTGAGCCACTCATTGCACAGAGATTTCTAAATCCCTTATATTACTTATCAGGAGAAAGGGGCTTCCTCTCAAGGAGCTCTGCAGTGTGGTGGGAGCTCTAATAGTGAAACATACAAGGTAAATAAAGCAGGCACCCAGCATAATAAACATTATTACCCTCATTTTATAAAAATAAAAATTCTGGTTAAAGAAACAATGTGCCTGCCCTGGCTGATGTGGCTCAGTTGGTTAAGCACCATCACATGCACCGAGAAGGCACCAGTTCAATTCCTGGTCAGGGCACATACTCAGGTTTCGGGTTTGAGGTGCATGCTGAAGGCAACTGATTTTTCTCTCTCATGTCAATGTTTCTCTCCCTCTCTCTCCCTTCCACTCTCTCTAAAATCAATAAAAATTTTTTTTAAAAAATGATGTGCCTAAAGTTATATATTTTAATTTGCGAAATTCTCATAGTTGATTCAAACCCAAGTCTTGTAACTCCAATAAACCACACTGCTTCCTACCAAGTATCAAGCTCTGTTCAGTAAACATTTATGGACACCATGGATGTCTGCTTAGCACTGCAGTTGCTGAAATACTCCTGTAGATATATTCTAAATGATCAACAAAGACAATTGAAAAAGTAATTACTTCTATCCTTTACCTTGCTGGGCAAATAAACTTTGCTTTGAAAGTTGTTTATATTAAACTTTTTTTACATACCTTGTGTCGTAAGCTTTTAACAGATTCCTTAATATATGGCAAATCTTTAGATGGGACGTACTTTTCAAGCATTTTATCAAAATTAGGATGACACATCATGAGGAAAAGCATCTTTCGACCATAATACCTATAGATATTTGAGAAAAATGTAAATAGTCTTACATGTCTTAAACAAGCTCAATTTCTGTCCTTAGACATGAGGACCCAAAAGCTTTAAGTCTATTTTTCAGGCACCCTAGGGTCCATATCAAGGATGGCCTTTGGCAAAACTATGAATTAGGATAATTCTTATCTTTTTTCTGGGCTCCTTGCCCAGTGTCCTTCTGCTGCTCATCTGCTTGTTAGATGCTTTGACCTGAGTCAACCTCCCCTTGGTTCTGTATTTCTGACTCTCTCTATTTTTTCCTAGTCACAACTTACCTGGGATCCAATTTGTCAAAAACCTATTCTCTGCTACCTAAAATAAACCCAAAGTTAGCTGATAAGTCATGGTTGGTATATTAATGAATGTGTAATGCTCTCCAAACTAGGATTTTTATGGTATATGAATTTAAACTATTTCTTTTAGGATAATACCTTAAGCTATCAGTCTAATGGTAGAAACTCAAATATCATGGAAGTGCATATTGGAAATATTTTTGGACCGAAAGATCATACAGTATCTCATAACAATACCATATTTTATTTTTCAAGCAAGTTTGGCCCCCAAATAAATTACAGTTAGACTTTTGCCTATAACTTAGGATACGTATATGGGACTAGAAGAACCAGAGAAGGCAGTGCTTTTGAGGGGGAGGGGGATAGGATGATCTCAGAATCATATATATCAACAGATTCTCAAAAAAAAATGAAATTACAGAAAGGGTATATAAGAGAATAAAAATTACCTTTTCTCTCCTCACAACCAGAATTAGGTCTATATCCATATAGGTTGCTCCTAATCAGTTACTTTCAACAAACAATTCTAACTTCTGGGGATTATCAATCCCCAGAATGTTAAAGACAAGAGGTCTACCAGAGGACCTAATTTGGGAGTGGCTAAAACAACCAAGTAAGAAAGCAACAGAAACACAAAATGTGAGAAATATTAAAACTGGAAATTTGTAAACATTTTATAATTTTAAATTTTCAAATAAGAATCTAGGAAGTGACAAATGGTTCAAAAGATATAGGCATTTTAACGCGCCATCTTATATTTTGGCGGGAAATTCACCCGACACCGTAGTGTAAATAGTCTATTAGGATCCAACCCTCCTAAACTGTTTTGCACATTACTGTGGTATGTAGAACTTCCAAAATGGTTCCCCCAGGATGTCCTGCTCTTTCAGGATTATGTTATATGGCACCGATGATTTTAGGATAGGGAAATTATCTAGATCTAATCCAATCACATGGGCCCTTAAAAGCAGAGAGCTCTCTATGGCTTGCAGCAGAAGTCAGGTTCTTACCCTTAAGGAACTGAGAGAGAATCCTGACTGACAGCCAGCAAAGAAATGGTTACTCATTCCTATAACCATAAGGAACTAAATTTGGCCAACAAGTGGAATGAATTTGTAACCAGATTCTTCTATAGATCCTCTAGGTAAGGGTCCAGCACTGTGGTCACCTTGATTTCCACCTTGTGAGACCCTAAGTGGAAGCAGTTGAGCCATGCCAGACTTCTAACCTAAAGAACAGTAAGCTAAAAAAAAAAAAAAAATCTGTGTTGACTTAAACCACTATATTTGTAGTAATTTGTTATGCAGTAATAGAAAATTAACATAGTTACCTTCTATATTATTAGCTTTTGATATAATGACTCCCACAAAATTAACTCCAGTTACCTCAAGTAATGAGCATCTTAAAATGTTAAAAATTTGAATCCTTTTTACTTTAGTCTCTATGAACTCAGGAGTCTCCCTCTCCCCTTTTATTTATTTATTTATTTATTTATTTATTTATTTATTTATTTCCTCTCCCCTTTTAATCTAACTTCATATATAACTGCCATAAATTTTTAGATTTTGTGTGGGGCATTATCAATCCCCAGCCTAACCTTTCTAATTTTATAGACAAGGCTAATTTTATAGACAAGGAAACAAAGGCTAACAGAGGTTGAATAACTTGCTTAAGGTAGGAATTGAACCTAGGCTTCTGACTACATCCAAAATTTCTGTCACCCCTACACCTATTGTACCATCCACATCTTAATTATTTTGCCATTTTCCTTTGACAGTTCTTAACCTTCATAAATTTGTTCTTCAAGTACAGATAGCAATTAGAAATTCATGGAATTTTCTAAGTACAGATATCTCATGTTTCTGGAGTTAGTATGCTATCCATTTTTTTATGTGCACCGATTTCCTTGATTTTACCTGGCTGCTTGGAAAATATATCATTTCTCCCTAAATACATTACTTTACATTTCTCACAATGAAGTTCTTCTGCCACTTTTCTGCCCATTCATACAGTCTTGTGACATTTTCATGCAGTTCATCCCTGTAGCATGACATCTTACTACACAGAAGTATTGCAGTGCCATCTGTAAATCTGGAGGATTCACTGTGCACTCCCCAAAGATCATTTACAAATTGGTTAAATAAAACCATTCCCCCAGCACCAATCCCTGGGTATACCACTTGTACATTTAAAAAAATGTTCATTCTTTTTAAACATTTGTTTCTTTATATTAAGCTCTTATATTAAGAGATTCAACAAATATTATTAGCAACCATTCACCTGGTTTCTTGTGAGCTGTCCTGAGCAAACTTAGCAGCAGCTGGTAATATACGTTCAGCCATATCTTTTGTTCCAGATAAAATACGCTCCACTTCCATAAGTTCCACTACATCTGAAAGGTGCTGGGCTGTACATCTTCTTACTGCAATGTGTAAATGGCTATAAGGAAACATGGTGAATTAAAACAAAGTTGATGTATAAAAAATTTTCCAAAGGTATACCTTTATCTTTATCTTTAATTTCTTTATTGGGTAAGGTATTACAAATGTGTCCTCATCCCCCCATTAACCCCCAACTTACCCCCCCCCCCCACTCATGTTCTCATCCCCCTGTTGTCCGTGTCCATTGGTTTGGCTTATATGCATGCATACAAGTCCTTTGGTTGATCTCTTCCCCTTACCCCCGCCCTCCCCTACTTTCCCTCTGGGGATTGATAGTCTGATTGCTGTTTCTCTGTCTTTGGATCTGTCCCTGTTCATCAGTCTATGTTGTTCTCTATATTCCACAAATGAGTGAGATCATGTGGTATTTATCTTTCTCTGACTGGCTTATTTCACTTAGCATAATGCTCTCCAGTTCCATCCATGCTGTTGCAAATGGCAAGAGCTCCTTCTTTTTTACCGCAGCGTAGTATCCCATTGTGTAGATGTACCACAGTTTTTTAATCCACTCATCTGCTGATGGGCACTTAGGCTGTTTCTAAATCTTAGCTATGGTGAATTGAGCTGCTATGAACATAGGGGTGCATATATCCTTTCTGATTGGTGTTTCTGGCTTCTTGGGATATATTCCTAGAAGTGGGATCACTGGGTCGAATGGGAGTTCCATTTTTAGTTTTTTGAGGAAGCTCCATACTGTTCTCCACAGTGGCTGCACCAGTCTGCATTCCCACCAGCAGTGCAGAAGGGTTCCTTTTTCTCCACATCCTCTCCAACACTTGTTGTTTGTTGATTTGTTGATGATAGCCATTCTGGCGGGTGCGAGATGATACTGCATTGTTGTTTTGATTTGCATCTCTCGTATAATTAGTGACTTTGAGCATGTTTTCATATGTCTTTCGGCATTCTGTATGTCCTCTTTTGAAAAGTGTCTATCTAGGTCCATTGCCCATTTTTTGATTGGATTGTTTGTTTATCTTCCTATTGTTAAGTTGCATGAGTTCCCTATAAATGTTGGAGATTAAACCCTTATCGGTGATATCATTGGCAAATATGTTCTCCCATGCAGTGGGCCTTCTTGTTGTTTTGTTGATGGTTTCCTTTGCTGTGCAAAAGCTTTTTATTTTGATGTAGTCCCATTTGTTTATTTTCTCTTTAGTTTCCATTGCCCTAGGAGCAGTATCAGAGAAGAAATTCCTTTGGCATATGTTTGCGATTTTGCTGCCTGTGGATTCCTCTAGTATTTTTATGGTTTCCCGTCTTACGTTTAAGTCTTTTACTCATTTTGAGTTTATTTTTGTGTATGGTGTGAGTTGGTGGTCTAGTTTCATCTTTTTGCATGTATCTGTCCAATTTTCCCAACACCATTTATTGAAGAGACTGTATTGACTCCATTGCATGCTCTTGCCTCCTTTGTCGAATATTAATTGGGCATAGTGGTTTGGGTAGATTTCTGGATTCTCTATTCTATTCCATTGATCTTTATGTCTGTTCTCGTGCCAGTACCAAGCTGTTTTAAGAACAGTGGCTTTGTAATACAGCTTGATATCTGGTATTGAGATCCCACCTACTTTGTTCTTCTTTCTCAGGATTGCTGCAGCTATTCAAGGTCTTTTTTGATTCCAGATGAATTTTTGGAACGTTTGTTCTAGATCTGTGAAATATGCTGTTGGCAATTTGATGGGGATTGCATTGAATCTATAGATTGCTTTGGGTAGTATGGACATTTTGATGATGTTGACCCTACCAATCCATGAACATGGTATGTTCTTCCATCTGTTTATGTCTTCCTCTATCTCTTTTTTCAGTGTCCTGTAGTTTTTCGCATATAAGTCTTTTACCTCCTTAGTTAAGTTTATTCCTAGGTATCTTAATTTTTTTGGTGTGATGGTAAATGGGATTGCTTTTTTAGTCTCACTTTCTGTAAGTTCACTATTGGTGTAAAGAAATGCCATAGATTTCTTGGCATTAATTTTGTATCCTGCTACATTGCTGAATTCATTTATTAAGACTAATAATTTTTTGATGGAGTCTTTAGGGTTTTCTATGTACAGTATCATGTCATCTGCAAATAAGGACAGTTTTACTTCTTTTCCAATTGGGATGCCTTTTATTTCTTCTTCTTGTCTGATCGCAACGGCTAGTACTTCCAGTACTATGTTGAGCAGGAGTGGTGAGAAGGGGCATCCCTGTCTTGTTCCTTTTCTTAGGGGAAATGGTTTTAGTTTTTGCCCACTGATTATGATGTTGGCTGTGGGTTTGTCATATATGGCTTTTATTATGTTGAGGTATGATCCTTCTATTCCTACCTTGCTGAGAGTTTTTATCAAGAAAGGGTGTTGGATTTTGTCAAATGCTTTTTCTGCATCAATTGATATGACTATGTGGTTTTTATCTCTCAATTTGTTTATGTGATGTATCACGTTTATTGATTTGTGGCTATTGTACCATCCTTACATCCTCGGGATAAATCCTACTTGGTCATGGTGTATGATCTTTCTGATGTATTGCTGGATCCGATTTGCTAGAATTTTGTTGAGGATTTTGGCATCTATGTTCATGAGGGATATTGGCCTGTAATTCTCTTTCATTGTGTTGTCTTTATCTGGTTTTGGTATTAGGGTGATGCTGGCTTCATAGAATGAGCTGGGAAGTGTTCCTTTCTCTTGAATCTTTTGACATAGTCTGAGGAGAATAGGTTTTAGTTCTTCTTTGAATGTTTGGTAAAACTCCCCTGTGAAGCCGTCTGGCCCCGGGCTTTTGTTTGCTGGAAGCTTTTTGATTACTGCTTCAATTTCTTCCATAGTTATTGGCCTATTGAGATTTTTAGATTCTCCTGATTAAGTTTTGGAAGGTTGTATTTTTCTAGGAATATGTCCATTTCCTCCAGGTTGTCTAGTTTGTTGGAGTAGAGTTGTTCATAGTATTTTTCAACAATCCTTTGTATTTCTGTGGGGTCTGTTGTTATTTCTCCTCTTTCATTTCTGATTTTGTTTATTTGGGTCCTTTCTCTTTGTTTCTTAGTGAGCCTGGCTAGAAGTTCATCAATCTTGTTTATCCTTTCAAAAAACTAGCTCTTGGTTTTGTTGATCTTTTGTATTGTTTTTTGGTCTCTATGTCATTTATCTCCACTCTGATCTTTATTATTTCCTTCCTTCTGCTTACACTGGGCTTTTCTTGTTGCTCTCTTTCTAACTCTTTGAGTTGTAGGGTTAGGTAATTTATTATCATTGTTTCTTGTTTTTTGCAGTAGGCTTGTAGAGCTATGAACTTCCCTCTCAAGACTGTTTTCGCTGTGTCTCATAGGTTTTGGATTGTTGTGTTTTCATTGTTGTTTTTTGCCATGATGTTTTTTATTTCTTCTTTGATCTCTCTGGTAACCCAGTCATTGTTTAATAGCATGCTATTTAGTCTCCATGTGTTTGTTTTTTTTGGATTGTTTTTATTGTAGTTGATTTCCAGTTTTATGCCATTGTGATCTGAGAAGATGCTTGATATGATTTCTATCTTCTTGAATTTGAAGAGACTTTGTCTGTGACCCAATATATGGTCTATCTTTGAAAATGACCCATGTGCACTTGAGAAGAATGTATATTCTATGGCTTTGGGGTGAAATGTTCTGAAGATGTCAATTAATTCCATCTGATCTAGTGAGTCATTTAGGATTGATGTTTTTTTGCTGATTTTTTGTTTAGAGGATTTGTCCAACGGTGATAGTGGGGTTTTAAAGTCCCCTACTATGATTGTATTGCTGTCAATCTCTCCCTTGATCTCCTCCAGAAGTTTTCTTATGTATTTGGGTGCGCCTATATTGGGTGCGTATATGTTTACCAGAGTTATTTCTTCATGTTGGATTGCTCCCTTTAGTATTATGAAGTGGCCTTCCTTATCTCTTTTTATGTCCTTCACTTTGAGATCTAATTTGTCAGATATAAGTATTGCTACCCCAGCTTTTTTTTCATTTCCATTCACCTGAAAAACCTTTTTCCATCCCTTCACCATCAGTCTGTGTGCATCTTTGTTTCTGAGGTGGGTTTCCTGTAGATAGCAGATATATGGGTCATGTTTTCTTATCCACTCAGTTACTTTATGTCTTTTGATTGGGGCATTTAATCCATTTACATTTAAAGTTATTATTGATAGATACTTGTTTGTCCCCATTTTTACTCTTTACCCCTCCTTTTTTGTTTCCTACTTTTTCTTTTTACAGCAGAAGCTTTAGCATTTCTTGCATTGCTAGTTTGGTAGTAATAAACTCCTGTAGTCCTTTTTTGTCTGTGAAGCTCTTGATTTCACCCTCAATTTTGATTGATAGCCTTGCTGCATACAGTATTCTTAGATTCAGACCCTTCCTTTGCATGATTTTGTATATTTCATTCCATTCCCTTCTTGCCTGATGTGTTTCTGTTGAGAAATCCATTGCTAGTCTGATGGGGGATCCTTTGTAAGTAACTTTCTGTCTCTCTCTGGCCGCTTTTAAGATTCTTGCTTTGTTGTTGGTGTTTGCCAATTTAATTATAATGTGCATTGGTGTCGGTCTTTTGGGGTTCATTTTTGTTTGGGACTCTGTGAGCTTCTTAGATTTGTGTGAGTTTTTTCTTCCCTATATTGGGGAAGTTTTCTGTCATTATTTTTTCAAACAGGTTTTCTATTCCTTGCTCAGTTTCCTCTCTTTCTGGAACCCCTATTATGCGATTGTTATTTCGTTTTGTGTTGTCCCAAAGTTCTCTTAGGCTCTCCTCCTGCTTTTTAATGTTTTTTTTCTAGAAGCTGCTCTGCTTGGGTATTTTTTTCTACCTTGTCTTCTAGCTCACTGATGCGGTCCTCTGCTTCTTCTAGTCTACTGTTGATGCTTTCTATTGAGTTCTTTATAGCAGTGATGTCATTTTTCATTTCTTCTTGGTTCTTCTTCATTTCCTCTTGGTTCTTACACATATTGTTGAATTTGTCTTCTATTCTTTTCATCCACCTTATGACCATTTCTCTGAATTCTTTCTCTGACAGGTTGCTTGCCT